CCTCCCTCACCCTGCTGGGTGGCGTCACCCATCGGTTCGTACAGCGGCGGAGCCAGAACAAAGGCAGCTACAGTGACAGGCGGCAGCGAGGGTCACCAGCTGAAGCTGAGGAGGCGCCCTCCATCCAAACGCCCGAAACTGCACCATGCTTGTGGTCTTGCATACAGAGAAGAGAAGAAGAAAGAGGAGATGTAGCGTTACTGTATGTGCAGAGATTTCATTTCAGTGGGTATAGAGGGGTTTATTTTGTTGTTGTTTTCTTCTCTACTATGGGTAATATGTAGAGCATGTTGTGTAGCTAAGTCGGGCGTGCTGACCACGGTCACACGGCTCTCAGCGTGTGTGTATGTGTCTGTGTGTCCATGTCTGTGTGTGTGTGCGTTGAGCATGTGAGTGTGTATGGGAGGGTTTTATTTGAAGATGAACCTTACTAGCAGGAATGGAGACATCGTCACCACCACCTTCATCAGAGACTGGTGTAATTTATATATAAGAGAGAACCTTTTGTACATGGACTTATCGGTTTCCATTTAAGAAGACATTTTATGATATATTTTATAAGTTACTTTAAATCCAATGGAAGCCGATGTAAAGCGGGGAGATGTCTGCATTCAACCAGAATGTTTTCGCACTGGTAAAAGTAGATTTTGTAAACCACCAGAAATAAAAGCTCTTATACGTAAGGAATAAAAATGATTAAAACCACCAGCCGAGTTTTGATTACGTCTTTTGAATGTTTAAAGATCCTGAAGCTTGGGGAAGGTTGGATGATTTGGTGAGTTTTGAGGCAGGAAGATGGTAAAACTTCAGCACTTATCCCACTTTTTTTTTTATGTTTTGTTGTTGTTCTTACTTGTGTATAAAAACTCTGGTTGATTGCAGGCCCTGTGCACTGCTTTTCCACAAGTTTTTTTTGGTTTCTGGAAGCTACACACTTGCTGCTAAATACTACAAAGGACTCAAAAGGAGGAGAGCACACCTGTTTTCCTTGTCTTGTTTTGTTTTCTTTTAAATAAAAATGCGTTAACAACATTTGCAGTATTTATTGGACGTCTCCTAACGTAGAGGTTACGTGTTGGGCACCAGTTTGTTTCCGGTTAAGTTCTTGTCGTCGTCCTCTTCTTAGCGTTAGTTTCTGGTGTCTCCAAAAAGGGTTTTGTTCTCCCTCTGGGCATTTAAATACCTGTAATATAACTGTAACATATTTCCACAAAAAAGAAAGAAAATCAGAAACTTACAAAGTGTTGTGTGGTTATTTGTTTCTACCCTTTATCACTGAGATTAAGCATGTTGAAAGTATTTATTGATCTGTCGGCACTGCTGAAGTTAGGCAGTAGAGGGCAGTGTTGGACCTAATGCTGCAGTAATTATTTGGCACCAGCAACATGCCTTGGCTAGAAAGCAGTTTTGAGCCACTTTGACTGGACTACAGATGTAACTGTAAATGCCTTTGTAGTAATAAACCTTTATGACGTAAAGGTTAAAACAGCAAACACATTTTATACATTTAGACCCACAGGAATGATTTTGATTCAATGAAACTTGGCTTTAATTGTGACTGTGGGAACAATCCAGTTCTCTAAAACGTGGCAATGCTTTCTTCATGTAATTTTATATCAGTAATGTTTAGGTTACCAGTGGTTTATTCTGCTACGTGATTTGCAGAGAAGTATCAATTCTAAGTAAGATAAGATCAACTTGTCCAAAGGTTTGGATATTCTTTTGTTACAACAGTCAAAAATCAGCTTGAACACAACAAATGTAGAACAAATAGCTTAATGAGTAGAATGGTATGTACGTAAAAGAATATGAGGGAACAACTACGTTTATTTTGTCTAATATTGTCAAAACAAATCTGAAATCAATGTAAATATCTTGACGTTATACATAAATAACAAATAGTGCAATAAAGTGACTTTGTGTTGTCACATTACAGGGTTAAAATAAACTTAAATAAACAACCTTAGAAATTTTCTTGTAAAACTTCCCGATAAAAATGTCGTGAAAAATAAATAAAATCACAGATTTTATTCATGTCAAGGTTTATATTCTACACAGCTCATAAAGAATTGACTGGATATCAGGAAATCTTTAATGGAAGACTTTAATGTAATTAAAAATTTAAAAGCAATTTAACTGCCATCCACAAAGTCTAGTTTAGAAGCAAGTGTTGTTACTTGGTAGCATTCTTCTTATTACACGAGTTTAAAGCATTTTCAAAGTGAACCGTATTATCATTCCTCAAATTTACTAAACAAATGCCTTTGTAGAATCACTAGTAAATATAATTTAAAAGAGAATTTAAAAAGGTTGTCAACATATCCCCAAAATGTGATTTTAAAGAACTTTTATTGCCTAGAAGTTAAACAATCACACACTACATATGTGTGTGTCTAGAAATTATTAATTGCAATTTCTGTTCTTTATCCAGATGTTTACATCCTTTCTCAGTAATCTTTCATATCTCAATATTCACATTTTTGTGGATCATGTTTACAACTGTCAGTCGAGTGAGAACAAGTCTCCAATATAATATGTTCTGCTATTTACCAAAGCTTGTTAAATACTTCTATTACAAACCTAAAAACTCTACAAAATGGAAACTTTTCGTTAGATTTAACTTCTTTTAAAATTGACATGAATAAAAATATAGGTAATCAATAGATTTTGTCCCAGTTCCTTCTATATTATTACAATTCTAAGTAATTTCTGGGTTAATTTCTAATTATTTATTCTCTAAGGCAAATAAGTTTGTGCAAAATGTTAAAATAGTTATAAATATTGCCACAATCTTACCAATCATTTTTTAGCTTAATTATTAAACATGATGTCTGATATACTTGGTTTGTTTCATCTTCTTCTGCATTACTTAAAAAATCTGTCTCCATGTTTTTAATTCTATTTGTAACAGAATAGTTATTTATCATACCTTTATTTAATTATTTTTCAGACTTTTTTGTGCCATGCCTCTTCTGAATAATATGTCTTGTAAAAAGGAAAAATTATAATAATGATAATCAGTAACAATTTCTTTCTTTCTAATAATAAAACATTTACAAAAATAAGACAAAACAGACACGTACGTCATCACAGCAATCGAAAAGCAAAATTACATCAATTTCAAATTAAAATCTGTATTAATAATGTAATTGGTGAAACTACTGACAAACATCAAAATCTTATATTTTCATATTAAATGAATGTATTTTAAAAGATGCACTAACTTTATAGATTTACATTTTATTTGTAAATTCATGTGTCTTGTTCCTTTAATTCTGAGATTCCTTAATGATTTGGTCTCTATTCATTTATTGATATTGAACAGCTGAATATAAATGAAGTGCTTTACCCCCCCTCAGTCAGGAGCAGACTGAGAACGGTAAACCCCACGAGCCAGCTCTGATGGCATCCCCGAGGCTGTGGTAAAAGCTTGCCCAGACCAACTGGCAGGGATGCTCACCAGGCTGTTCAACCTCTCTCTGACTTATGCCACCATTCCCACCTTTCGGAAGGTTTCCACCACTATTCCCACCCCCCCAAAAAATGGCATAGACAGCCTCATTTTCTATAGCACCATAGCCCTCGTGTCTGTAGTCATGAAGCCTTTCTAGCACAAAGTGTCTCAGCACATCAGAGCCTGTCTACCGCCTCCCTCGACCCCCACCAGTTTGCTTACAGATCGGTCCACAGAGGATGTCATCACATCACCCTGCAGATCCATCTGGAGAACAGAAAGAGCTACGTGAGAATGGTCTTCGTGAACTACGGCTTAATGTTCAACGCCACCATTGCAGACATCCTCACCATCAAACTGCACCATCAGTCTGACCCCCCTCTCTTGTTTTGTATATATTTCTCTTGATTGTACATATTTCCCCCTGTTTGATATTTATTCCTGCTATCTTACTATTGATAATTTACTCCTGCACAGTTGGTGTTAAGCACCCATAATTTTGTTGTACATGTACAATCACAATAAAGGCTATTCTATTCTATTCTATTCTATTCTATTCTATTCAGAAGCCCTGATTCATTGTTCTATTCTCTTATGTTTGCCTGCTTTTAGACCCGAGGCATGATTTGATGACTGTCTGACATCGGGCTCTTCGGTGTTGCTTTCGTGTTTCTTATTTGGAGAAAAAAACCTGGCACTTGTCGTCTATTTAAATTTAAAATGTAATTTATAACCCCAGGTATTTCACATGAGGTATGATTTGTGCCCACGTTTAAAAAAGTTTTGCAAATTTAAATCATATAAATCACATAGATCTGTGATTTTAAGGATTTTAACCCCCCGTAGATCACAAATAACACACGTTCACACCTTTTTCTTATTTATTCAGCTGCTTATTTGTTTTTTCCCTAAAAATTAATTCCTTAATTACACATAGTGTATTATTACATATATTTTTCTTTTCTTGTATAATTGTTAAATGCTAACGGTATTTTCTTTTTTTTGTCTTCTTTTTCTTTTTACGATGTCTGCTTTAACGCATTCACATTTCTTTGTTAAACTGCATAATTTTCCGTTCTCTTCAGCATTTCATGCCCCTAATTTATAACCACAAACAAACAGCAACCCTTCAAACTTTGAGGAGGATTAAAGTGACTCAGCTTATTTGGTTTGCAGGCCTTTAGAGAAAGAAAAATCTCCTAATCCCAGGCTTCTTCCTCCATGATTTCTGCGACCCGCTTGCTTGCTCGTGCTACCAGAGAACATGCTGTGCTGCTGCAGCCTGGCATCACGTTACTGAGTGTGCTTTTGTAGTTTTCCAAAAACGTGGTGGTATTAATTTATGATACACTTTGACTGCTCAGAGAAGAAAGGCACAATATAAATACTGGTCCATTCAGCAGATGTTTCCTAGAATTTCTTATTATATCCTTAAGAGCTGACTTTCTGGACTCACAGAGTTTGCCAACCTCAGCTTTTGATTAGAGCTTGGACTTCACCCTCGTCTCCAGTGCAACTGTCTCTCACATAAGACAATGGACAAAAATCCAAAGAGCTTTTTTATTGAATCTTTATTTCACATATTTACACCCACAAAAATTGGATTATTTACATTCACATTTAATTATCTGGCAAAGAATTAAATTCTTAATAACCTGATGAGTGTCCGTTTTTGATGTCTGGCAAATAAACTGAAGTGGACAAAGAGGGCTGAATTTAAGGTACTGGCTTAATTCACATCAACTTCCCAGTCTGATCGGGAGTGAAAGGGAAAAATAGCATGGACTGTTTTGTAGTAGATCCACTTCATAAATAATTAACCCCAAAACACAAATGTGAAACCACATTTTTACACCAAAGCTGGTCCGGAGCATAACATGACTTAACAAAACTTAAACAACCACCTTTACAAAAGTTCAAACACGCGTTCTTAAACACAACGTACGAGAAATGATTGTGCTTTGTATTTATTTACATAAGTAATACAGTGAATGTTGCATTCATGTCTTTTTATGTCACGTTAAACTCAACTAAATCTTGCTGCATCCATCAGTGAATACAACAAAATACCTTTAATGGGGATACTTGAGATTGAATTCATAACCAGATTAAAAGTATTCGTTGCTTAAAGTTACATTACCAGGTGTAGTCTCGTGTTCAGCAGCATCGAGCTGATCATTTTTGTGGTAATGGTAAATATTTGGAGGGGGTTTACATTCATGCCATTAGCAGATGATGATGATGTTAACTATAGCAACTTCTCCAGGTTTTCTGCACCTTAAATTAGAATTAAGATTTTATATTTTATTCCACTCAGAATGAAATTTGAGGCCAGCTGCTTTAAACAAGCAAAAACTGGAGGAAAAAAGCTGTTTGTGTGGTTTGTTTGATGCTCTAGTTGCGCATGAAAACAAACATTTCCTTGGCAGGACTGTAGACATGACCTGGAACTTGTTGGGGAGTGCACTGGTTTGATTCCCATCGCATAAATTTTGAAATCACTTGGCCGCCAGTTTTTACTGACAGCTAGCAGACAGGAAAAACCTGGTCACCTTATTTGTTATATATTCTGTTCTCACGCTTTATTATTTTGAAAGACTGAGTGAAGACATTTGTCAACAGTTGAATTTCTTCTTTTCTGAATCATTAGTGCTGTACCAAACAATAGCTGCTCTGCTCTCACAAATCACTGGGACCTAATACGAGAGATCTGGAAGGTTAAATCAGGCTACGGTCCTATTTGATTGCCTCAAACATTTGTTTTCCATCATGCACCTCTGTCTGGTCATGTCTACTAAGGTTCGGGGCTGCAGAGCATGTGTGAAAACAGCTTTTTAATTTGAATTACCTTGGAAGGCATCTGCTGTGTTGTTCACTACAACAATGTGGAAAGCAGCAGAGCTACACAGACATGAAAACAACATATTTCTGCTGTTTAGATGCAGACCATTTTCCCGAGTCTGAAAGTCACATCTGCAGTTAATCCAACATAGCATGAATACCAACTGCAAGGGAGCATTTAATGCACCTCTTGGAGAAAGGTTGGAGTTGACGAGCCAAAATGCTGAAGTCTGACAGAAAAAAGCGAGACTGTAAGCAGCCCTATTTCATAGTCCCAATATGGTTGTCAACATGATGGGTCGGTATATTAAGTATATCTGAAAGGCAGTAAATTGTCTCTGAGGTTTATACTTTTACCCACATGTTTGTACTCTGACTGGGGGAATATCAAGAACAAAGGGTTCACGAACTCAATACTTAAATGATTATTATAAAAATAAAAAAATATAGCACAGCATTTACATCTCTAAACAGGAATACACCTAAAATTTCTGTGTGGACTCAAATGACTTTTATACAAACATTTCTTAATGGCAGAACTGAGAACAACTGCAGCTGGTATTGCTTTTGTTTATTTGTGATTGGTGTATCCAGGCCTGGTGGGGAGCACTGTCCCCTCAAAGCAAGATGGTTCCTTGGTTTAAACTTTGTGGCCAGGTGGGCCTTTTATGTGGAGCTTTTGTGTTCTTCCTGTGCCTCCATGGGCTTTTCTCCAGGTGGTCCAGTTTGCTCCCTCAGTCCAAAGACGTACAATTTTCTTAGTGTTTCTAAATTAGTCATAGGCTTGGATATAAGCGTTAAAGCTCTGATTCTTTGTGCTAGCCCCCTGGAAGTGGAAGCCTGTTCAGGCAACACAGGCAGTTTCAATGGTTCCAACTTTTGGTGGTTTTAGGCACGACTGCTTCAGGGGTTAAAGAAGAATAAGAACAAAGAATAAAAGTTTGACAAACTCTCGGTCTTTGGCAAACTTTCCTGTGGATATTTGTGTTGCACAGCCACTTCACAGCCAAATTGTCTACCCCAGGCAAGACCACTATGGCAAAACATTACTTCCATCTGCACTAATTTACTTTTGGCTACATGACTCTGCTCTGGGACCCCTGCAGCAGCAGCAAGACCCTGCAGAGAAGAAAAGAAAAAGAGGCGATAGCTGAAGGTGGGCTACAAAGTGGCTTGCAGGTGTGGAGCAACTGTAGCTAGGCTGAAGCAGTTTAAAACGCATGCCCTACATTACATTTGCCTCAGGGTGTGTAGTAGGCTGTAAGAGTTGATCTGCAGGTTTGCATCTCAGTGTGACATTGAGACCTACCTATCCAAGACTTCAGCTAGTCTGTTGTTTAAGCCTCTGGAGACGCGTAATTTGGGGGGTATTCCGGTGTAGCCCGTGGATTAGTTTAGGAACTCCTTTCTAGATTGCATTTTAGCAAATTGAATCCTCCTTTTGCTCTCCACACAGATTGTAGATGACACAACAAGAAATTAAACAGTTTGTGCAACAAGTAGTCTATATTTTGCTGAAGATCTAGGTTGGATATTGGGTCCAGAGCTATGAATTAGGCATTAGATGCCTAGTTGGATATTAACTCATTCACTGCCAGCCATTGGCAGTGAATGAGTTAAACCCATTGACTCATTCACTGCCATTGACGGCTATAGACGTCAATGGCAGTGAATGAGTTAAAATTGCTTTTGGGCCTAAATATCCTTAAAAACTGTACTTCCGCCTTAAAGAGATGTTTGTAAAAAAAAACTACACCCCTGGAAAGTCCAGTCCACACTTACTTTAAGACACTCGAATACAAAAGTCTGTTTGGTTTGATAAGCACTCATGCACAGCCACATCAGTGTCTTCTCCCCCAAGAGAACCAGTGTCGTAAAAGTTGTTTGACTTCTCCTTGACTTTTATAGTTTTGAACTCTAGGAGAAGTCTAGATGCTACCACACTCATCATTACAGCACGGTAGCATCATTAAGCTATTTCACCAGGTAAAATCCGAGATGCCCAGTCCAAGACCTGCTACTCTAGCTGATCAGAAATGCACCGAAGAAGCTGGTCTCCTCGTCCATGTCCACAGCAGATGCATTTGTCACCGTGACGAACAGGCGGTCGCCGGTAGTGAGCGGGAACAGCCCCCCCTGGTGGGCGGAGTGCAGAGAGTACTGGGAACCTCGGGACCAGCAGGAAGTGCGGCTTGTTTTCATCAGCAGGATGGGAGCCGGGTATGAGCTCATCTGTTGGGAGAAGAGCAGGTGAGAGAAATGCGATATGTTAGAAGCGCTAAAGAATGAGTGCTTCAAAGGTGGCGTGAAGGCAGGAATTACAAATTTTGATTTCATGTTTGAGTCTCAACCACAGAGAAGAGAAGCAACCAATCAGCTGTCAGCGAGCTGTCACTGCTTATGATCAAAAACCTCCTAAATTTTGTCTTAAACAAAAGCTTTCTTGGGAGTTGTTTACAAGTTTCTCAATCATACTCTGGTCCAAGAATCTGTCTTTTGCAGGACAAAACAAATTATTTTCAATTATAATCTGGGCTCAGAAAAACAAAGCAAAAGACAAAGAAGAATCCAATCCATGTGCTCCATGAGTACACTGGCAACAGCTGCCTGTGAGAAAATACACACAGTCACAGCAAGACTTCAGACACAAAACCCCGAGGCTTTCATTATTATATCTGGAGACTTTAACCATGCCACACTGGATTCTACTCTGGCTGCTTTTCACCAGTTTGTGAATTGTCCCACAAGAAGCAACAGGACAATTGACCTACTGTATGCTAATGTGAGAGATGCATACAGAGCCACCCCCCTCCCCCCACTAGGGAAGTCAGACCACAACCTGGTTTACCTACAGCCACAATACACACCCCTCGTCCAAAGGCAGCCGGTCACAACGCGCTCCATCCGGAGATGGACCCCAGAAAAGGAGGATGCTCTGAGGGACTGTTATGACACCACAGACTGGGATGTGCTCCTGAGCCCACATGGTGAGGACATAGAGGGGGCGACACACTGTCTTACAGACTACCTCAACTTTTGTGTGGACACGGTCGCCCCTGCTAAGACGGTACGGTGTTATCCTTATAACAAACCGTGGGTAACACAGGAAGTCAAAGCTGTCCTCAACATGAAGAAGAAGGCTTTCAGGAGCAAAGTGAAGGAGGAGATGAAGGCAGCACAGCGGGAGGTGAAACGCTGCCTGAGGGAAGCAAAGGACACCTACAGGAGGAAGGTGGAGCAGAAGTTGGAGAGGAACAATATGAGGGAGGTCTGGAATGGTGTGAAAACCATCACAGGCCACAACACCAAAAAAAGCACAGTGGGGGGGACTGTGGAGAAGGCAAACGAACTCAACAACTTCTTCAACAGGTTTGACCAGCCCACAACCCCCCCACCCTCACCCTCACCTTCACTACAGAGTCCAATCCCCACTCTCCTACCTCCCTCGCTTCCCCCCTTCCTGACACCATGACACCCCCCTCCTCCAATCCCTCTCTCAGCAGCAAGACATCTCCCCCCCTCCCCTCTTCCCAAACATCTCCCAGTGTCACAGTGGATCAGGTCAGGAGGCAACTGAGGAAGCTTCGCCCCAGAAAGGCAGCAGGCCCAGACAAGGTGTGTCCTAGGATGCTAAAGGCGTGTGCTGCTGAACTTGGGGAGCTGCTACAACGAGTCTTCAACCTCAGTCTGCGACTGGGGAGAGTGCCCGCCCTATGGAAGACATCCTGCATCGTCCCGGTCCCCAAAAAGAACCGGCCCAATGAGCTGAATGACTTCCGACCGGTGGCACTGACGTCACATCTTATGAAGACTCTAGAGCGGCTCTTCCTCAACCTCCTCCGACCACAGGTACAACATGCCCAGGACCCACTACAGTTTGCATACAAGGCGGGTGTCGGAGTGGAGGATGCCATCCTGTACCTCCTACACAGAGCCCACTCACACCTGGATGGGGGAAAAGGCACGGTCAGGATCCTGTTTCTTGACTTTTCCAGTACCATCCGGCCCTGTATGCTTCAAGAAAAACTGAACAGGATGCAGGTGGACCCCTGCCTGGTGGCTTGGATCTCCGACTACCTCACCGACAGACCACAGTACGTCAGGCTGAAGGACATCACGTCTGACACAGTGGTCAGCAGCACAGGAGCACCACAGGGAACTGTGCTGTCCCCTCTTCTCTTCACCCTGTACACCTCTGACTTCTGCTACAACTCTGAATTATGCCACATTCAGAAGTTTGCAGACGACACAGCCATCATGGGGTGTATCTGGGATGATCAGGAAGAGGAGTACAGAAGTCTGGTGAGGAACTTTGTCGCATGGAGTCACACAAACCACCTGCAACTCAACACCTCAAAGACTAAGGAACTGGTTGTGGACTTTGGGAGGTCCAGAGAAGGTCCACTGCCGGTTCAGATAGAGGGGGAGGAGGTGGAGGTGGTCAACAAGTACAAGTACCTCGGGCTGTGGGTGGACAATAAACTGGACTGGTCATGCAACACAGAGCACCTGTATAAAAAAGCCCAAAGCCGACTGTACTTCCTCAGGAGGCTGAGGTCTTTTAACATCTGCAGGAAGCTCCTGAGGATGTTTTACCAGTCGGTGGTTGCTGGAGTACTTTTCTATGCTGTGGTGTGCTGGGGGAGCAGCACAGCAAAGAGGGACTCATCCAGGCTGGAGAAACTGATCAGGAAGGCTAGCTCTGTGGTCGGCATGAAGCTGGACACTCTGGTGACAGTGGCAGAGAAAAGGACATTAAAGAAACTGATGGACATTATGAACAATGCTGGACATCCTCTGCACACGGCCATAAACAACCAGAAGAGTCTGTTCAGTGACAGGTTGCTTCTCCCCAAGACAAGAACTAACAGACTTAAAAACTCCTTTGTCCCACACGCCATCAGACTGTTTAACTCCTCTCTGGAGGGGAGAGGGAGGGGAGACAGGAGGACAAAGGAGGGGGGAACAACTAAGCTGTAGTGCCTCTTCACCTCACTGTACAATACCTTGTGCAATACTTTTTGTAAATAGTCAACGGTGCAATAGACTCAATACTTGAAATGTGCAATTCACTTATATTTTTATTTTTTATTCCTATTTATTCTATTTATCCCCTTCGTATATTTTATTTATATTGTCTCTGTATTTATATATATGTGTGTGTGTATAACTCTGTAACTTCTGTCGGTGCTGTGCTTTTTGGAAATCGAATTTCCCAGAGGAACCCACCCGAGGGATTAATAAAGTTCTATCTTATCTTATCTTATCTTATCTTATCTTATCTTATCTTATATGGCCCTTCGGTGGCTGGTTTCTAAATGCTCACTAATAAAAAACAAGACTATTACTCAGAAAAGCTTTAACACAGACTTCTTTGATGGCCTGTACTACACAGTATCATTTCAGCACCAGAGGTTTTCGCTTGGTCGTTCAGCAAAAAAATCAAGTGGAAGTTGGTCAGGTGATAGTTGAGGCAGCTAATTTGGCTAATACTAATCAGCTGCAGCTTGCCTGGTGAGTGACTGGTTACTGTCACATACCTGCAAACATCAAGCATGACCACTGTTAAACTAGTGAAGTCCAACAGTCACATTTAATAAAACATCCATTTACAAACAGATGGCACACGGCCCGGGATGCCTTAAAAAATTGTGACAATAAGTTCAGCATGTTTTTCCACTTGCACAGTCTCCACAGTCACTACAAGAAAGATTGTTGTCATAAATAACGGAGAAGCATCGGTGCAGATCCTCGGCTCAACCTCCTTAATTTGGTTTGTTATGACAGCCATCTTAGGGCTGTTCGATATAACGATATATATCGGATGACGATATAAAAACGTCTATCGTTTCATTTTACGCTATCGTTTGTTTCGTGGTGTCGCAAAATAAACTCTTTACGGCAATATTTGTTCATGGTTTTGATGGTCACTGTAGTGGCTATACTAATTTCTTAAAGTTCTATCTTTCTCTTATATTTTATATAACCACACTACAGATGGACAAGTGCCTGTTTTTATGCGTTGTCGTTAGCAACAATGACGGTAAAACCATCGCGTGTCTGCTTGTTTATGTTCCACATAAACCTTTCACAATAAAGCTCAAGATCCTGTTGAGACTTTTCAAAATAAACTGAATCACGTGAAAGAGCAGATCATTTACAGATGAGAAGTAAAAAAGAGCCGCAGGTGCTAAAAAATAAACCTTAGACTCAAACGTTAGAACAGGCTTTTCCCCGCAGCACGCTGTGTAATAAATAAATACTCACAAAGAAAACGGCGGCCGTTACAACTTACGTCTAAAAATGTATAGTTTCATGCATCGGTTAAAACACTCGACTCCAGCTACATGATGCGCAGCTGGAAACACTTCACGCAAGTCGAGCTGCCCGAGATTCACAGAATTTACAAAAATGTTAAATTTTTGTGATTTATATCGTTATCGGACGATAGAATTCTTATATCGGGATATGAGATTTTGGTCATATCGCACAGCCCTAGGCCATCTGTAATGTCTTCTTCAGAAGGACTCCAAAGACTCCGAACAATGATTCAGGCGTCTGAATTGGCAGAAATTAACAGTTTGAACAAACACTCTCATGAACTCATCAGCTTTAAAACTTGCGACACAATCCCAACTATTACATCCTGATCAACCAGACTGGATGCCCCAGTGGGCTCCATTTTTGACATTTTTATTTTAATTCATTTTTGATCCAAAAATAAAAAGCACAATGGATTTGACTGCCTATTAATACACAAGCATAATGCTAGAAAATGGCTCTTTTTCATTTTTACGGGTAAAATATGTCCCCTTTAATTGAAGTTTTAGCTGACAAAGCAGAAGCCAAAGGTTACTCGATATTTACAGCAATTCTGTCTGAATGCTTATTAGTCATCATATTTTACTAGTCAGACACCATCCTAACACACCCCTGCCCGCCCCAGTGACTCAACAGTCTGCGATGTTCTGTGCAACAAACACTAAAAGATTACAAATAAATGTGCAGATAGGTCAAGACAAGCTGGATTTAATTCATGCAGAAGGAGTTTTGTTTTATCGCCAAAATGAATAATTAGACTGATGCATGAGTACAGGTCAAACCAAATTTTTACAACACTAGACGAGTGAAAGAACAAAAAGTGATAAGTTAGTTTATGAATGTGTCTCTCACCTTCTTATAGATGTACTGCAGCAGAGGTTTCCCCCTATCCTCCACCTCCTCGCTGTCCTCTCCATCCTCCCCCAGGTGGCTGTGTCTGAAGTAAGTCTGGGCGTAGACGTAGTAGAGGCCCGGCTGCGACACCACCAGCTCCCCATCCACCAGCTGGACGTCCTGGAGGAAGGCCAGCCCCTTACGGCCCTCCCACCATGAGATCTTCTGGCCATAAACGCGCCGCCCAGCAAAGACTGGAGCTGAGGAAGTAAGGCAAGTGGACAACATCAGATTTTGTTATGCAATCACATGTGATGACAGCTAAAACTTCATTTTAAGGGTGGTGGAGTTCAACAGTTTGTTTTAAAGACTCCTAATAACGAGGTCAGGATATGTGAAAGTAATCATTCTGAGCCAAAAACTCTCAGTTTTGGGAGTTTGTTCTACTCATAAATCTCTATGATGTCGGTGAGAGGGGATATCCCTAATGTGGTCATCTTAGGCCCAGAAGCCGCACCCAACTGCTGTCCAAATTTTGTTAATGAGGGGCATTCAATAAGAAGAAAGTTGGCTTAAAGGGCAAACAGCTTGTTTAAGACAGGGGATCTGGCTTATTTTGAAGTGTAACTCATGCAAAGCTACGCTAGTAGAGTCCAAGAATAAAATACAGACGTTGCCTTTAAATTGAAAGGTCACTCTGTGCATGCTGTTTAAATTTTGCTCTAACGCAATCCGCCTAACGGCCACTTTCAGCAGCACTCACCTCCTCCTGCTCGCTCCAGTTTGGGGACATAGCTGCCCGTGACATGAGCGGCAACTTTGGGGCGAGAGAGAGAGAGCAGCACCTGGGAGACTTCATCTAACGTGAAGGAAAGGATGGAAAATGCACCCAGAAAAGTCCGATCAGAGGATAGATCAGTATTTAGTAGGTCATAGGTCAGATGTTTGCATGTTTCGGTTTTGCTTTCTCACCTTTCACTTCTGACGAATTCTGCCTCAGCCTCTGCCTCTGCCTCTGCTGAGACAATGACTGTAGGAAAAACAGTGGTGAAGTAAGATTTTTGAGTAATATGTCTGTAACATTAAACATAGTAATAACCTTTTGCCACTTTATCTGCCGAGCGGGGCCATCAGCTCATACCGCAGACCTGCCAAGCAGCGTCTTATCTAACTTTGACCCTGTAAATGTGCTGACATCAGATCAGGAGACTTGCTCCTTTGAATAAAAAAAGAAGTCTTCGTGTTAACGTTGGCAACGGATTCTTTCCTGGAAACGACCCGTCTCCAATTTCCTCGTGTTTTTCATTTCTTTTGCCAATTAATTGGAAACTACTGCCAAACCAACTAAAACCATTTTCTAAATAATGGTTCTGGACAGTTTAGCTCAGCTGCAGAAATGTGTTTTAAAAGAAAAAAAAGAAGAGGCTTTCTGAAAGAATCTGAGAAAAGAGATAAGACATCATTTAATGATTATTTAGCTGTCAAAGAGATGATCAGAACATAACAACAGGTAACTTATTCAAATATTCCCAAAAAAGATGAGTTAATCATCGGAGATTAGAGATTCATGCATACTTTAAAAACAAGATGTCACTGGATAGTTTCAGCACGGGAATACTAATACCGGGTTGTCAGTCTGACAAACGGCTGGTCAGCCGGTTCATTGCTTTGGTTCAAACAGAAATATTTTCTCCTACAGGATCAATTGTCTTAAGGTGTCTTTTTTTATGCAAATAATGCTTCTTAGTGGCAAAATCCTGCTGATATTGGTGCTAGCACATTTGTAGGAACTAAGACTCATCACACCAGGCGGACAGGAGAGTCGTCTGCTGCTCATCTGCTTCAAGTTTTGACATGTTCCGTGTTCAGAGAAGCTCTTCTTCATACCTTGGTTGTAACGAGTGGTTTGTTACTATCGCCTTCCTATCAGTTCAATCTGGCATCAATGACGCATTTTCATCCAGAGAACTCACGGTCACTGGATATTTCGTCTTTTTCAGACAAGTGTCTGTAAACCAAAGAGATGACTGTGTGGGAAAATCCCAGCAGGTCAGCAGTTTCTGAGACACTCAGATCAGCTTGTCTGGCACCAACAACCTTTCAAAGTCACTTAAATCACCTTTTTCCCCATTCTGATGATCAGGTTGAACTTTGTCTGCATGTCTAAATGCACTGAGTTGCTGCCATGTGATTGGCTGACTAGATAGCTTTGTTAAAAAGCAGCTCAACAGGTGTACCTAACAAAGTGGCCAGTGAGTACAATAAAATGATTAAATTAGGTTTAATTGACGCTGTAAATCTTTACACCAACACATCTGCAGCTATGGGTGTTTTTTAGGTTTCTACCATTCACCTGCCTGTTGAGTGTGTTTTTAGAGGAAATACTACTGTAGATTCAGATTCCTTCCGAGTTTAAAAACCCGAACCAACGTCCTGGATCAGACCGTCTCTGTGTTGTTTATGTTCTGAACTAAATTTAATCAACCAGCAGAATCGGAAAAAATCCAACTCGAAGTATTTAGCAGAGCAGCAAAGTCAGAGGAGGAGAGAAGGGAACGAAAACAAACAATGTGCACAAATAGCAAGCAAAAGAAAATGAATATGTTTGCTGTGTGTGTGTGTGTGTGTGTGTGTGTGTGTGTGTGTGTGTGTGTGTGTGTGTGTGTGTGTGTGTGTGTGTGTGTGTGTCAGTGCAGGGCAGGTGAATGCATTCCTGTGCTGATTAAACCACACAGGATCACATCACATCTCCAGCTATGAAGGAGTTCATTGTGCATCCGCAGGCAGTGATTTGGATCATTTCAGTTTTTCTTTCTTCAGCGAATATCCACAGGAAGCCCCTAATAATGATAATAATAATGACCCCTCTTTGAGTTTAAGAGATAAAGCTGCCTTTATTCTACATTTTTCTTTCTGCCAATGAATCCCATGGAAAACAATAAATTAATAGTTTTAGGATAACAATGGAGCCCTGTTAAACAGAAGCCTTGTTTTTTTAGTCGTACTCCTGCTCTCCCGTGGCGCCCCTCTTGTGTTTATCATCAAGAGTAAAACTTTGCTTGAAATTTTCTTTGCTTGAAATTTAATTGAACTCCAGCTGTGCGGAGTTCAATTAAATAAGGGACCGCGGAATAAAAAATAACAATAAACCTTCTTCAGCATTTGCTTTGTAAGCATTTTTCAGACTTTGCAGCTGGGAGTAGTGTCGGAGGTTAGCAATGTCTCCAAAGCCCTGTGGGTGGGGAGTTTTTGATGCAGTGCAGTGAAGGAGAAGAAATTAAGTTTTGAAATCTCAGCAGCTGGCCAAATCATACGAGTCATTAATAGAGATCGGCTGAAACCGATATGCACAGCTCATTTTCAGATTTTACCAAGCGGAAAAACTCTGCAGCTGAGACATGAAAGCAACTCTGAGCTGCCAGAAGCTGCAGAGCCTCTAATGCAGCGGTCCCCAACCTTTTTTACGCCACGGACCGGTTTATGCCCGACAATATTTTCATGGACCGGCCTTTAAGGTGTCGCGGATAAATACAACAAAATAAAACTAGTACCGGTACCGAAAAAAAGAAAATTTATTCATAACACAGATGAAAAGACCCAGGAAAACCGAGTAAACGATAAAAACGATAACAAAATAACGCTGAAAACCGATAAAAACCCTGAAAACTATACATTTCACACCTGAGCCTCAACTCTCGCGGCCCGGTACCAAACGACTCATGGACCGGTACCGGTCCGAGGCCCGGGGGTTGGGGACCGCTGCTCTAATGACCACTTGAGGCTCCTAAAGTGAGTCAGTCCCCCCAGTAACTCCCAGGTTTAACATGTACACCTTCAGATTTAAACAGGTTTACTGAAAACTGTTTTTATTCTAGTGACTTATTGAACCCTTCATAGTAGCTTTATGAGACCTGAATTATTTTAAGTTTATCCAGGCTTAAAGTTAGGGCTGTGCGTCTGATGAGTGTCAGGTAGCCTGTAGCTCTCTGCTAATATGTGGATTCTGGATACCAGCAGCTTTTCCAGGAAGTCTTTGTCTCTTCTTTGGTATTTTATCACTGTTTCTAAGTACTAATTATCTGATATATGTGTCTGTAGGTTACAACTAAACAGTCTATGGATGCAGCAACAACAAGAACAGCATGGCATCAGCCAAAATGCTATCACTGAGGCTTCAGAAGAGGGTTTTAGAAAGAATCAGGTGACGTCAGAGGCATTATATTCAGAGCAGCAAGTTAAAAGCCAATCAAGTTGCTGTGCATGTGAATAGGAGAGGCGGTTTCTGCTGTGTGGTAGCAGACACAGCTCTCTATTGGTTAAATATAAAGATGTATTTAAGTGTATTCTAACTTTTTCTTGGCTTCCTGTATCCATAGTGTGCATAAACATGGCGCGTATTCAGCATATGTTGAGTTGCTGTTTGTGTCGGCACTCTAATGAACGAATGATAACATTTCATGACTAATACTGGTTTACTCATCGTGTAGTCAGTGTGGGGCTCTGGAGTGTGTGTCAAACGTCTACAATAATGAATCTGTTAAAATGTTTATATTACTTTGAAACCCACTTTGAGGTTTAGATTTAAAATGTTTTTACAATGAGCGCACTGTGTTTATACCCTGTTTATTTTAGCATAACTAACGCCATTTCTCTTAGACGTTTCAGGGACGTTCTTCTTCTACAATAATGAAATTATTTAGATGTGTTAGCTGTTGTGTTGTTTGTTTATTAGTTAAGTTAGTTATTTGTATAACAAGCAAAACCCTCAATACTTCATCTTAAATACTGTTTTGTCCAATGTGTAACAACATTTGAACATTTCAATGAAAATGAACTTAAGAAATGCTTATTTGCCATCACTGGTATTCCTGCAGGATGAGGTCAAAATGATCCCCTAAGAGGTTTCAGTGTTAAACCTCATTTCGGGGCAAGGTAGCCAAACATTATAAGAGGGTTTTATCAGATTTGCTGCTTATTCTCTACATGTTTTTACATCCCACTGACAGCTTAAAGTTAAGATGCTTTCTCCCTATTAATTTAGACTGTAGCTTTAAAGTAAGCACCCTGATTTCTTTCACAGTTTTAATTTAATTTCAAAGTAATGCCACAGTGGCTGCATTCATTGTTTACATACAGTTTGTGGATTTTATAGGTCAGTTAAGTTCTGGGGGGTAAAAGTAAGCAATAATTCCTCGTGATACTGTACCTTCTCGATGAGGAGGTGAACCTGCTGAGTGACCTGCCAGCATAGATCCCCTCGCACATCCGTGATGCTCTGCAGGTCAGTGCCCGTCAGACAGGAGACACTGCTCCTGGCAAAAGTCTCCTTTATCTGCGAATAGTGACGGTATGAAGTATAGCATGGAACAAGTGGAGCAATGTCTCTTTATTTTCCCATCAAACATTCCTGACACACCTGACGGTCTCTGTGGTTTCATTTTGCAAAACCAAAAGTTGTTTTCAAGGTCTGTTCGCTTTAAAAACATAATTTTACATGCTGATGTTAACTTAATTGCACCAATTTTTCTTGCTCTTTTTTTGTAGAAAAATGCCCATTGTCCACACTAAAACAATTACTGTCTAAAGAGTTGGCTTTAGAACCTGAGTCATCATAATTTCCTGGCATGCATCCCTTTCCTTCCTTGTCATGTGTTTAAGTTTCATTTTCCACATATCGCTGCTGCATCTCATCTCTGGGTTAATGATTGATTACTGTAAACAAAGGCTGAGAGTTGTACTGGACTGAATCCATCTGAGCAGAGGACTCTCAGATGTACTTCAACAAAAGTACAGTCAGGGCAGCATAATCACACTCACAAAAATTCAGGCGCATAGGTCTGTACAAACAGTCACAGATGATCGTAAAATGATCTGCAGGCCACCTCTCCTGCTGCTTTTCTTTTTAACTTCCTTGTTCTCTGTTCTACGTTTGCAGCTGCAGAGAAAAACAAGGTGTGTATGTTTGCGTGACATTGCATTGTGCAAACCTTACTCCAGAGCAGCATAAGTGACCTGCATTACAATGTGTAAAAGAAAAGAAAAAAAGAAAAAGAAATTAAAAGTGGGCTATATGTTCTTTGGAGCGCAGCAGCAACACCAGAGCGCAAAACTAATTAAAGTGGTTTGCTCCAGAACTTGTCACCGCTGAACTGCGCATTAAAACTCTAATTAAGTCAGCAGCAAAATGAAGTAAAACGCGGCTGCATCAACTTTGCCCCCGCCTCGCTGTGCGCAAAGCACGGCCATGCGTAAAAGCCTCCGCGCGTCCCTTACTCCTCTGTCCCAACTTTAAATTCTTCCTTACCGAGTTGAGAGCCGTTGTGAAGTGCAGCACGGTGATGGTGACGACCACAGTCTGCAGCAGAACCGCCACCAGCAGCAGGACCCCGAGCTTCGGACCGGAGCCCGTCATAACGACAGACTGCCGTCCGGTACCCGACCAGCGCCACCCGTCCCGTTCGCAGACGTCCAGAACAAGAACAATGGCAGAGAGCTGACTGCTTAACTTCTACCCTCTCTGTCCCCTGCAAGCAGGAGGAGGAGGAGGAGGCGGGGCCGGGCCGGGCCTGAAGAACAAGAGCTTTTCCCTCTTTGAGATTTGTGCTGCAGGGATTATTGTTTCATTTCTGCGCTGAAAAAACACAGATAGCCTTCTAGTTTATTATGAAGTCTCATATCGTTGCTATAGATCTCTGCTCCAAGTTTTACTGTGAGAAAAATGCCTTTGACATGACCGGAGATCATGTTCTGAAACATGCTCAGAATAGCTCAGCAGTTGGATTTTGGAATGCACAGGACAGAGAGTTTGTGGAGGCTAATCTAAACGAATGATTTCACCACTTGTATTAAATCTTTATGAATTTGTGGTCCAGGGCAACAATGGAACAGCTGTGTTTGTCATTAGTATCCTAAATGAATTGTATCTTCAGTTCAGATGTAAGGGGTCATATGTGTGTATCGCCCACTTAACTGTTTTGATTTGGGGATTAACTTTTTCTAGTTTCAAGTTTTTCCTGCTGCCTGGTGTCAAGTTAATAAGCTGTTAATAAGCTGTGTTTCTTTCCATAAGGAAGAGTAAGAGCATTAATTCAGCAGTCATGCCTTACATAACAAATGGTATCTAACTGTATGAATGAATAAAGTGTATTAATTCGTACAATAACAAATAGAAACTAAAATAAGCATATTTGTTATTCACCTGTTGTGTCATTTCAACTCATTGTGAGTCTTTACTACTTGCTGCTGTCATTTTACACTTGAACTGGTTTCTCTGTGGCACCTCCTTTTACTGCTCAGACATGCACAAGCATCACACTTGGCAAGAGGTGCGGTGAAATCATATTAATTGAGTTGACAACAACAATGTAATGTAATATCTCTTCCAACAAGTATTACACTGAACAAGTGAGAGCAAGAGAGACAAAGAAGCCAACAGGGGAAAAATTGTAGGAGGTTTTCAGTCATTTCAGTGTGTTTGACCACAGTTTGTGTTGAGGTCAAAACTCTTTACAGCCTCCAAACTGCTGGTCCTTTGTAGTTAACTTCCTCCGTGCTATGTTAATGCTGTCAACACCGAACAACACCGGAGTAAAATGAATAAATTGTCCATTTGTCATTTTGTCATTTGTTAAGATTTTAGGACATTTTGAGATTTTTTTGAGATTCAGGTCTTTGAGTAAGTTTTGGATCGATACCTGATCCAAGTGTCACATTTTTGCATCATTTTTGGCACTTTAAGCTTTGTCCTTCAATGAACTCCTTCTTGGAAAATGGTCAGATTTAGATAATATTTTGTCATTCTTATCTTTAATATTCTAAAAGTTTAAACTTTTGCTACAGTATCCAGGGTGCTGTAGCAAATTTCAGAGTTTCATGAAAACAATACCGAAGTTTTAACTTCAAAGCGCATGCTTAGGAGTTCCATCTGAAGGGATCAGCGTGCATGAAATTCTTTGGCTGCATATAATATCCCAAGATGAACAAAACAACTTCTTGCAGACATACCCAAAATCCAACAGAAAACTGAATTGACTGTGTAATTACTGACATTTACAGGCATTATACGTAAAAACAAACAAAGAAAAACCCGGTGCAGAAGGTTGATCAGGTCATCATGTAGGAAAAGTTTAAAGCAGGTTGGGAAGCTTTTGATTTTTTATTGACCAAAGGCTCCACGGTGCAGGTTTTAATGCCGGCACTGTCCATTCTACTGTGTTTATTATTCCTGATAAGTTGCATGTATGAAATTCTGTAGCCACACATATGAAAAACTCTTGTATCATCACCTTGAACTGTCAAGACTAATGGACTGGTAGAGTCAGGTGCACACTCAGGAGAGCTCAGTCAGTGCATTTATTTACAGTGAAGACGCTATTGCAAATGTGCAAACAGGGAATGGTGCTCCAGGGAGGGGGGTCCAATGGAAAGGGGTCTAAATATCCACTATGTGCAGTTTTCTCACTCTCACGCTCAAGGTCACACCCACCACAATGGTGGAGGAAATCCAGGAACCTGTGCACAGGGAACAGAGGGTCAAAATCCACAAAGCCAGGAGCAGAGCAAAAACACACGTAGATAGAAGCTGGAGCAGAAGCCAAGGAGGTTCAGGGACAACAACATAAACCTAACATGATGTCAGTCATTTTAAATTTACTGTGTGATTATGGTGCCATTTTTACTATTTGCAGGCTTTTTACTTTTAGCAAACTCCTCACAGAAAATTTATCACATTACCATATTTGGTCAGTTTATTCTTATAGGATGTTTGTGACGCTTTTGTTTCAAACCTTTGAGTTTTTATTGAAGGGCATGTAATTTGTGATTTTATATGTTTCTACCATGAAACATCAACCACCCTAAAAGCCTAATAACTCATATGTACATAGCACATACTCAAAGGCCTCAGTAAATACGTGCCATTTTAATTGTTTTTAAAAATGTCCAGAGAAATGTCCACACTCTGAACACAGCCTAGTCTCCAAGATCCACAATGGGTCATTGCAGATCTCACAGACTAGGCTGTGTTCAGAGAATGGAAGCAGCAGCAGTAAAGGCTCTGTCCACAAAGGACTGCAGTCTGGTGTGAGAGATGGGGAGTAAGTCTTTATCTGTGAAATACAGAATTTAAAATGGGGAGTAAGGGAGGAGAAGGTCAGATAAATACTGTGGAGCACACGCATGTAGGGATTTATAGGTGAGGAGAAGGATTTTATATGAGAAACATGTTTTATATGCAGGGTTTGATAGGGAGACCAAACAAGCAGGAACAAAGGTTTCAGCTCCAGAGTCTGAGCGCTTTGGCTGGAGTCTGGAGATGTTCTTTAGTTGGTAGAAGGCAGAGTTACAGATGGATTTAATATGGGATGAGAATAATTGGGTGGAATCCAGGATATGACACCCAGGTTGCAGACCTCTGGAGATGGTGAAATATATCATCCATCAATGTACAGATGGGCAGCTTTTCGAAGCAGAGATTTGAGAGCCATAAACCAGGAGTTCAGTTTTACTGTTGATCAGTTTTAGAAAACTGTTTGAGATCCTGTTTCTGATTTCTCCCAAGCAGCTGGTAAGGAACAAATGGGAGTACTGGCAACTGTATGTCATTAGCATAGCAGTGGAAACTGAACGTGATGAAAGGAAGAGATCCCAATAGATCCTTGAAGAACTCCTTGGTTGACTGAAACAGAGGAACATAAGCATTTTTAGGTGACATATTGCATACTGCCAGTAATGTAAGACTGAAACCAGAGCCAATGTGAAAGAAGAAGAAGAGACTTTCTCAAAAACTTCAAAAACATCTTGTGTTTTAAAAGAATTCTGCCCTGCATGAGCTCAACATGCAAAATTCTGCAAAAACTGCTATTCTGATTTTGTTGTGCAACTGTAGCAACATCCCAGCTGTTTATAGACTTTGTGTTCCAACAGATTCCTGGAGAAATCCCGGAGAATCAACCGCGTCGACATCAAATATGTTCAGTCTCACCATAATCTAAATTGCAAACCTTTCGACTTTTTGAACGCCGTGTTTGGTCTGTGGGGGAATTTTCCTTGAAATTGGAAGTATCACTCAGTCTATCCCAATATTCTCATGTTTGATGAAAGTTCTGGCAGCGTGAGTATTCTGGCAACAAGAAAGACAGCCTTTGGTGGACAGGACAAAATTAATTCTTGTGTTTTACACATGATATGCAGTAACGTGAAGCGCAATTTTAACTAGGTGTTTTCTAAGAGATTTGTATAGCTCTTTTGTAACATCCTGTAAGAGTCCAGACCTGAATACATGCCTGAAATAAAGCCCATCGACTGCAGCGTGCCCCGACATGCAACAAGGTGCAAGGGCCCATGATTGCTGCTTGCAGCCTGAGCAACAGATATGTTTTGCATCAATGAACAACAGCATTCTGATTTGAGTTAAAAAAAAAAAAGGGTATGCTCAGAAGAAAATCATAACTTAGAGTTTACTTCAAAGACTCTGACCACCTGAAGATACACTCAACAAAAATATAAACGCAACACCTTTGTTACTGCTCCCATTCCCCATGGGATGGACGTAGAGACCTAAAATTCATTCCAGATACACAATATAACCATCCCTCCCAAATAGTGGTCACAAATCAGTCCAAATGTGTGGTAGTGGGCACATCTGCTATATTGAGATAATCCATCCCACCTCACAGGTGTGCCACATCAGGATGCTGATCTGACATCATGAGTAGTGCACAGGTGTACCTCAGACTGCCCACAACAAAAGGCCACCCTGGAATGTGCAGTTTTGTCTCACAGCAAAATGCCACAGATGCCACAAGCAATGAGGGAGCGTGCAATTGGCATGCTGACATCAGGAATGTCAACCAGATCTGTCGCCCGTGCATTGAATGTTCATTTCTCAACCATAAGCCGTCTCCACAGGCGTTTCAGAGAATATGGCAGCACATCCAACCGGCCTCACAACCGCAGACCTCGTGTAACCACACCAGCCCAGGACCTCCACATCCAGCAGGTTCACCTCCAAGATCGTCTGAGACCAGCCACCCAGACAGCTGCTGGAACAATTGGTTTGCACAACCAAACAATTTCTGCACAAACTGTCAGAAACCGTCTCAGGGACGCTCAACTGCATGCCCGTCGTCCTCATCGGGGTCTTGACCTGACTCCAGCTCGTCGCCGTAACAGACTTGTGTGGGCAAATGCTCACATTCGATGGCGTCTGGCACGTTGGAGAGGTGTGCGCTTCACGGATGAATCATGGTTCACATTGTTCAGGGCAGATGGCAGCTGAGAATGTCCCAGTTCTTGCATGGCCAGCATACTCACCGGACATGTCACCCATTGAGCATGTTAGGGATGTGCTTGACCGGCGTATACGACAGCGTGTACCAGTTCCCACGAATATCCAACAACCTCGCACAGCCATTGAAGTGGAGTGGACCAACATTCCACAGGCCACAATTGACAGACTCCATGCGACGATGTGTTGCACTGCATGAGGCAAATGGTGGTCACACCAGATACTGACCGGTTCTGGGTC